GTCCTCAGCTCCGTGCTTACTGCTCTCTTTACTTTCAGGGGGATGTGGAACTGCAGCCTGGGGTTCTCATGCAGGGCCTCTCCAATAGGCACCAGCCTTCGACCCTGACAGACATATGCTCCTGTATCGGAAACACACTAATTCAATTATAAAATATTTCTCATAGGAGTGAAGGAACCTTTGCCTGTTAAGAGTTAACAATTAGGTCCTCAGAACTGTTTTATGGTTTTGTAAACTCCTGGCTGGCCAAGGTTTCTTTAAGGTCTCTTAAGTGGAGGTGTAACTCATGTATCCTACATGTGATTTAGCAACATGAAATGGAATAGGTTCTTATCGGAATATGGTCTTGGTTAACTGCCTAAGGCTGACCTAAGTGCCTAACCTTCTGACTTTGTTTACACCTTATATGTTATGAATGTTTTATGTATGAAAATTTTGCTCATCTTCAAGAATAAATGTCTGTTGCTTTACTTAGGAAAGTGAGTGAGAGACAAGGTTAACAGAAATTAGGCACAGTAGTAAATGACAGGATATGTTTTTGTTCTCAAATGGTCTGTACCTGGCACACCTGCAGTGCAAACTGACACACACTGTTTAGAGAAACAACTACTCTATTACACAGAGATAAAAGGTGAACAGTCTGGGTTAACACATGATGCCCATCTTGTTCTGCTGCAATAAACCATGAATGTACCATAAATCGTAACATCAAAGAAACTGGATCAGACACTTGATGTATTGCTAATTTGCTGAAGCACATAACAATTTAGCAAATAAATGATGCAAGGTTATTGGAGTGTGTTATTGCAATGTATTTAATTGTTTATTATGATTAGCAAGACATTACAAAAAAAGGAAATTACAAAAATAATTAAGCAGTGGGAAATGTGTAATGCTCTTTGAAATGAGCTTTTCCAGCCTTTCAATTTTACAATGTTGTTTTTCGCTATTTGGGTTAAAGCGATTCTTTCTTTTTTGTCAGATGTACAAGCCCGTAAAGTCAACATCTTTTATTAACAAGAGGGGTCTAGTAATAGCAAAGAAAGTAGATCTCTTGCAGGTTTTAACTAAATTCCTATGCGCTAAATTGCTAAAAATAAAAGATAAAAACTGGAGAAGCTGGTAAAGCTTACAGAACTTTGTTTAAAAATTTACTGGACACTGTAAAAATGGACACTGGAACTGGGTGTCTTTTGTGTGTCAGAACTCATTAGTGAAACAGTTGAATCACAAGCTGATGAAACAGTAATAAAAATAGTAAGAAACATAAACAGGGATTCTAGACAGAAAACCATTCATCAAGGTACACACTGCAATTTCTTCTGTTATAAACAGT